ATGAGGATGGAGATGATCCAACAGGAGTTTTGGAAAATTGTTAATATATTTTCTAACTCCCAAGCATGAAGTTTGGAGAGACATAATGAGTTATAGTGTATATCTAAATTGAAAGGATAATTCCATTTGAAATTATTTGGGAAATAATATGCAACCCATGAACAAGAATTTCTTAAATTATGTGAATATTTGAAAGATGTGCAGACTTCCCATCAGAAATATATAATATATCAAATATCCTCAATAAATTTCCAAATCCATATCTCCATCTTATAAACATTTATAAAATGGAAATAAAGAAATTTAATGTTTTTTTGGATAGTTCCGAAAGAAAAACATCCAAATTATTTCTGGAAATTCAGTAAAACCCAACACCTTAATTAATCTAAATTAAATAAGGAAATTTCCGTTTTAAATTAATTTGGGAATTTCTTTGGTTATGGGAAAAATTTAGTATTTTAATAAAAACCAGTGTAAGGAAAGACAAATTCCCCAAGCAACACCTGATTGCTGATTTTACGTAATTATTAAAAAAAATTCCACATTTTATGATTGCATACCTGGATTAATATATTCCGAATGGAATTTCCGTATAAAATATAATTTGGGGATATTTTGATAATACATAAATTAATATAAATTTAATTGGGAAATTTTCGAAATGGGAAATTCCAAAATAGAAAATTAACCCCACTGTTGAGGATTTCCCAGGAAATTTGGGTATTTTACAAAAGAAATTCCCCAAGAACACCACAATTTTGTCCAGGGGATAATTTCAGTATTTGGAGCATGACTTTAAAATGAGATCCAAATTAGTTATGACTTCATATAAAGAATTGATATAAAACTATTTAGAAATTTATACAAATGTACCGAAATATAATCTGAAACTAATAAGATTCTTTTTTTGTTTTGGGAATCCTGGGAATTAGGGAAGAATATTTTCTCTATAGTTCTTAAGGGTATAAAGTGAAAATCAGTATAGAAGATTAAATTAATTTTTTTTACAAATGTATACTACTTTGGAGTATTCGTAAATTTCGAAAATTTTCATTGGAAACTGAAGGTTTTATCATAATAACATGAGGAAAATTCAAAAAGAAATGTACACTTTTTCAATACATAGGGGGGCGGTACCAGAAGGAAATTACCAATAACACCCACCTTTAAACACGATATAGTTCTAGTAAAAAATATTAGATTAAGTTTGGGCCAATACGGATTATTCCTTCACAGGATATACATTTATATTTCAGCAAAATTTTGACCATTTGTAGGGGAGGTACTAGAAGGAGTTCTCTGATATTCTCCATCTTCAAACATGATTTAGGTTTGGAAGAAATATTGGGATGTGCAAAGTTTGGATTAAATCTGCAAACCTATTTTTAACTTAACGCACCAACCAGCCTTGCAGACATTTACCAGCCGGATAAACAGTTTAGACATAAGGCTGCGTGTATCCCACGACCAATGAGAACCCAAAATATAAAATTGGAGACAACTTGATTGAAATCCCCAAATTACATGATACCATATATATCCAATTATAATCCGAAACATAACCAATAAGGAAAGTTTAATAGACGTACGGGGCCGACTATATAATACCCTTCATCACTTTGGGTACATACAAGAGATGCTCATATGTACAATATCCTTTACATAGAATAGACATAGCATCTTTGGAAGATTATTGAAATAAAATCGGACGAAATTAACTGCGTGAAGTACATAGATATTTGAACTACATTAAACAAACCATACACATACCAATACACGTTATTTTACGTTTGATGTGGTACGTTATGCACAAATTCGTTCAAAGAGGACGAACTTTAGTTATTTGGCACGTAATTTTGATGATATCAGATGAAAATATATATGGAAGGTATATATCCAATGCGCTATGCTAAATTTCATGTAAAGCGAACATACATAGGCTCCTCCATTTGGACCATTTGCTTAAAATCGGACAAAAATATATAACATATCTTAACAACAAAATGTCGTGTAAATAGAACAGGATCTATGGTGCACCATTTACATAAAATGGGAGTAAAGTATATATGTCAGCTATATTTAAATCTGACCCAATTCAACAAAATTTCTTGGACGTCAATATGCAGTAATTTCAGTACGCCGTGCAAAATTTTGTATCAATCGGACAAACATTAACAATATGGTGAATCATCATTTATATAAAATCAGACGAAAATGTTTATGGGAGCTATATCTAAACCTGAACCGATTTCAACAAAACTTCATGGACGCCAATCTCCAGTAATTAACCGGTCATCACATTCCAAACGGTGGGTGTCATTCCTTACTAGATCCCGAAGTTCATGCAAAATTTCGTTAAATCGGTCCATGAACTTATCAAAACAGAAAGACACACATAATTACAACGAGTCATATAATGTGAAGAAATGCGGGCCAAACTTCACTTTCAATATCCCATAACATTTTTATGTTGGATGTAAAAGTTGAACAGATAATAAATGCGACATGTGAATTTTTACAAAAAAATCCATACCATTCAATTTGTCGGTCTGCATATTATTTTACCTTTTTGGATGAAATTAGCATCTTAATGTCCCGAAGGCATGGGAAAAATGTAGGTAGAAGAATACCATATTTCGGAAACATAATCTCAATATATAAGTCATCTATACTATGGACCGAGATAACATTCTGAAATGTCGCAGCGAATATAACTATGTAAACATTTCAAAATCCACCAGGAAATTTTAAAACCTTGTTTCTAAATTTGTACGTGAAAATCCAGATTCCATTCCTAGGTATTCCCAGATAAAATACGGAAGAAATCGGGGAAATACGAGTGATATTATCTGTAAAGGTCTGGAAGGAATGCAAATCTGTGGAAGTTTTTAAGCAATGCCCACTCTATATCTTTCCGAACCAGATCTGATAGTCAAAGAATTTGTAAAGCTTTTATATACAATTTAAAGTAAATACCGATGTATAATTTTTATTGGAAATTCCATAATCGAGCTTCTTGCGGAAACCTTTTTAAAAGTCGAATGTAAAGAAATGAATACATAAAACACTCCAAGGGTCTTTTCAACTGGCGTCTGCTTTAATACCATATATTTTTAACAATAATCCCTACATAAACCTCAGCTCAATGTTGTAAAGTCGAAGTGTGGAGATTTCCACGGAAATACAATACAATTTCCGATATTTGGCCAAAACTTGGTAAAACTGGAAATTTCACCTAGAAATAATTTGAATTATAGATATATGCTTTGAATATAAATATATCTCTAGGAAATTTGTTATATATAGGAGTGGGTATTCGACCAAAATTATTTGTAAATTAGGGAAATATTCCAATGTCCATCAGTTTAATAATCGATCACTCAAAGCGTTTATGTTATATAAATCTTTGGAGTTTTCACGGAAATCCCCATAAAATTCCCGCATACTCTTCTACATTGGGAATGAATTTTCTACTAAACTTTTAGTGTGAAGACTTTCAGGGAAATTAAATTACATTTACTATACATCATTGATCAGGAAAAAATTCTGAAAGTATCCCAAAACTTGATAAAACTGGAATTTCCATAATAAAATAATATAAAACATGTATATACTTTTTCCATATAAATATATCAATATGATACTGGTTATATATCTAGGATGGGATATACGTCCAAGGTTATTTATAAATTAGAGAAATACTCCAATGTACTTCAGTCTAAGTATCTTTCACTCAAGGCGTTTTCACAGAAATTCCCTTAAAATCCCCACTGTATATTCTACTACACCAGAAATTAATTTTCCACTTCATATATATAATTCCAACGTTTCTTGTAATTGAGATCAATTATGATCAACAAATCTCCAATTTTAAAACTCCACAAAGGAAACCTATACAAATTTTAAAAATGATCCTTCATACCTTTGTATGAACATAAAATTTTTGCAAGATCCTTGACAATTTTGCATGGCATTTCTGTTTGGCACATGTCATAGCAGCAGATTTGCAACAGATGATCTGCGTATATCTATTCCGATATTGTAATAAGAAAATTTCCCTTGTTGCATATTGGGAAAATTCGCCTATTTCTCCCCCTCTTTCATGCGGTGCAGCGACAATTTGATTCCCTTTCCCACTTTTTTACCTGACTGCTCGTTCACCTATCTGGCCCGCCAGCCAGCCAGCCAAAATGTTGATATTATTTTCGCTATTATTCGTGTTGTTGTTGTTGCTATTGTTAGTTGTTTTTGTAAAATGCTTTTTGCTTGGAGATGAATTTATGTGCGATATCGAGACGTAAACGACGCATGATTTCTTTGATTAACATCACATTGAGGGATTCTGACGTATTTTCCATTTGTGAAATAAGAAAACTTCCCAATCGCTCATACTCCCATGCACACAGATACACTCACACATGCATACCTACACTGAGTAATGCACACGCACATGCCATGCCACCAGATTTGTGTGAGTGTGCATTTCTACTTCCCTCGGTTGTTTTATTGTTGTTGTTATTGTATGTGCGGTGGACGTTGTTGCACGGTGTGTGCATCGCTCAGCTCAGGTAGCCGAACACCCAACCACCGGCAGCAGCCCTTTTTGGGTGAAGTTACAAATTAAGGGAATGGGAAATTCTTTGATGTCAACAAGAATCCAAAAAACACACAAAAGAGGGAGAGTGTGTGAGAGCGTAAGTAAAAGAGAGAGGGAGAACATAATCATGTGTGTGCCGCTGTGAAAATCCACCACCTTTGCTCGGAGTTTGCCGGATATAAAAGGAGGCGCAGAGAGCTAACCTGTCATAGCAACACAAACGCTCAAACAGTGAACATCACAAGCGAACTCATCCAAATACAATTTTATTATTTTTTTGATTTCGGAAAAAATTACGATCTAAATTCAGTGAATAACAACGAACACATACGGATACGAAAAAAATACAACAACTTTTTTGTTTTCGGAATTTTATTTTGTTCAATTTTACGTTCAATCACAAAAAACACAACACACACAAAAATGGCTGCCAACTACAAAAGCTGCCCATTGAAAAAACGTCCCATCATCTACGTCAAGGATGAACAAGAACTCCAGCAACAACAACCAGCATCCAGCGAGGTGTATGAACAAATCGAAGCCTTGGCTTTGACCAAAAACTCCTCCTCCAACTCGGTGCGCTCTGCAGCTGATGATCAGCCACAAGATTTGTCACTGAAACGCAAGGCTAACGACAGTTTCGAGGATTATGTCGTACCAGTCAAGCGTGAATGTGTCCTAAATCTTTCGAGCAAATCATCAGCCCCAGAAGCTGCCACAGCTTGGTTCCAGCCTCCCCAATCGCCAGTCATGGATTTGTCTAACAGCTCAGCCATGTTGTCGCCACCAGCTGAAGTTGATTCCAGCATGGAATACCAGCCCAGCGATATCCATTTGCGTGGCTTGACCGCCAACACCACTGGCTACACCACCAATCCCTATCAATCGGCTTTCGTGATGGCTGCTGGCTGCAATCCCATGACCGCCTTGTGGAATACCTATCAACCTAACTTGGCTGCCATCTTCCCCTCTCCAGCTTCATCGATTGCCTCGGCTGCCTCACCCAGATCCAACTACAGTTATCAACACATTTCTCCCCCCTCCAGCCCTGGCTCAGAATTGACCTCCGAACCTGAGGATTTGTCGGTACGCAACGATATTCCATTGCCAGCCTTGTTCCACATGTTCGATGAGACCCCCAGCCACAGCTCTGGAGTATCGTCATTCTCTTCAGCTTCATCGGTCTACTCACACAGCAGCTCCACCAGCAGTGGCTCCTCGTCCAGCGGCAACTCATCTGCTTCATCACAGAATGCCAGCAAGAACTATCGCTTCAAGTGTGACAAATGCAACAAAATGTACTCCACCTCCATGGGTTTGTCCAAGCACCAACAGTTCCATTGCCCCGCAGCTGAATGCAACCAGGAAAAGAAACAACATGCCTGCCAGGATTGTGGTAAACTCTACACCACCATGGGTGCCTTGAAGATGCACATTCGCACTCACACCTTGCCCTGCAAGTGCCCAATCTGTGGTAAGGCCTTCTCACGCCCATGGCTCTTGCAAGGACACATTCGCACTCACACCGGTGAAAAGCCATTCCAATGCCCTGACTGCCCACGCTCATTTGCCGATCGTTCCAACTTGCGTGCTCATCAACAAACCCACGTCGATGTCAAGAAATACGCCTGCAAAGTGTGCAACAAATCCTTCTCCCGCATGTCCCTGCTGAATAAACACACCAGTTCCAATTGTACCATTACAATTGCGTAAACTGACTCGCCTCATCTCAGCCAAGCCGCAAAAATCGCCCGACAACTCTCAAACATTCCGCTGGAAAGGATATCATCGTTAACTATTTGATCTTTTTTTAATTTTAACAAATTTTTTATTAAAATATTTTTTTTAGTTTTTAATTTTAAACAAACCACAAGCAAAACAAACAAACAAACAAACCTCAATTAGTTTTTAAAAAACCCCCCAGTTTTAAGGAAGACAATAATCTATCATTTATAGAGATACTCATAGTCTATAAGGTTTATATACTATTTTTTTATAGTCTGTAAGTTGTTCAGCTAGAATCTAAGGACTCAAAATGGTGCTATATCTTGTTATAGTATTTTATTTTTAGTTTCTCATTTTTTTATTTCAATTATAATAATTTATTTTGAATATTAATTTGAATTTTTTATTTTTATTAACTTTAAGTTAGGCATTGAGTTCTCAGCTCTAGTCCTGTTTTATAAATCTCTCTATTTTTATTTAGTATAGCAAACAAACAAACCCCCTTGTATATTTTTGTTTTGATTTTATTATTATATATTTTATTTTATTTTTTTTATTAATATGTTAAAATAATTGTTAAGATATATATTTTTTTATACATTATAGAAAAAAATAAAAATAATTAAAAATTTCAACAAAAACCAAAATTTTATCCAAATCTTTTTATTTCAACAAATTTTTCTTTTTCAGCTTTTTCAAATAATTGAAAATCATATCATGAAAGAAAATACAGGCAAACCTTCTAAAATAAAAAAAAAGAAAAATATAAGTCTTCTTATATACATAACAGCTGACCCAGCAAACATTATATTGTATTATATATAAAAAATGTTGAGATTTCATATTCCTGTTGATAAATAATATCAAAATAACCCACACTATATCCAGGGTCTGATACATGGTTTTATGTGATAGTAGGTTGTTCATACCCCGAAAAAATAGTGTTCCAAATTACAGTTGTAACACTTAGAAAACTTTAACAGACTTTTTAAATTTTTTTGTTATTCACCAGAATTCCGTTATGAGCTATAACTGAATTTCAATCGGACAAACATTGGAAGTTGGGTGCACCATTTACACAAAATCAGACGAAAACCACTAAGGAAGGTAGTAAAGTCGGACGGGGCCGACTATATGATACCCTTCACCACTATCTGTATATTAAAGGAATGCATCCTAACAGAAGGGGTATATTGTACTAATTTCAGCAGGTTTTGTTCCTAATGGACATATTTTGGGTCCTACTTAAAATCGGACAAACATATATATGAGACCTATATCTAAATCGGAACCGATTTTCAAGAAGTTTTACACACATCATTCTAGACTCAATTCATTACGCTATGCCAAATTTCATGAAAATCGGGATATATAGGGACTTCGGTGAACCATTTACATTAAATCGCTCGAAAATATATATTGGATCTATATCCAAATCTGAACCGATTTTCAAAAACTTTTATATACATCATACTAGAATCAATTCAGTACACTATGCCAAATTTCGTACAAATCGGATGATATATAGGGACTTTGGCATACCATTTACCTAAAATCGGGTGAAACTATATATGGGAGCTATATCTAAATTTGAACGGATATTCAAGAAATTTTACACACCTTATTCTAGACTCAATCCAGTACGCTATATAGGGACTTTGTCACACCATTTACATTAAAACGGGCGAAACTATATATGGGAGCTATATCTAAATCTTAACCGATTTTCTCCCATTTCAAAAGGGTTCGTCTTTGGGCCAAATTAGTGAACTGTGCCAAATTTCATCCAAATCGGATCATAAATGCGACCTGTACTTTGTTAACAAAATGGACGGACGGAGTAGTAAATCGACTCAGAAAGTGATTCTATGCATATTCTCAAAAGGAACCATGGGTCTATGTCGGTTCCTTTTGCCTGTTACAAACATATGCACAAAGACATAATACCCTGTACCACAGTGTGGTGAAGAGTATAATAAATGGGAGCTATTTTGAAATCTGAACGGATTTCAACAAAACTTCTCGAACGTCAAACTGTACTAATTTCAGTACGCTGTGCAAAATTTTGTCTCAATCGGACAAACCTTTGAAATTTAGTGCACCATCGGACAAACTATATATGGAGGCTAAATCTGAATCTGATCCTATTTCAACATGACGTTGCATACGTCAATCAGGAACTATTCCTTTTGCCTGTTGGATGGTTGGTGCACATGGTTACATTTCTTCCAATCTGAAATGAAGATTGAAAATAAGGATATCATACCATTCCTTCTGCAACGTCTAAGTGTGAACGGTTTATGCGTTTTTATCCCCCCACCTTGTATTTTTTCATGTTCAAAGGGGGGATTACAGCTCCACTAGTTCTGGTATATCTCGCACAAAATTGCAACATTTGGAAAACATTTAAATATTTTGTGAACTAAGTCCCATTTTATTAAACCTTTATTGAATCCGAACAATGGATTTATCGGTGCATTCCTCCAAACGAAGGTAGTTGAGTATCCAATTTGACCAAAACTTCACACATATAATATTTTAACCAACTCTAGTTCAGATCCGAATATGCAGTCCAATGGTACACATTCCTGGTACTGTATGGATTATCCGTTTTGATCCAAATTTTACCTATCCTAATAGTTAATCGTACAGTCATGATGGATGGTGTTGATTATTGTTCCACTACTTCTGATCAACCTCCACAGAGGTTCACGTAATACCATTACCAATTCTTCTTTGAATCGGAAGATGGGATTTATCAGTCCATTCTTTAAAATTAAAAAATTCCAACAGTTTGAGTTTGACCCAATATTCGCACAAATCAATATTCTTACCAAGTCTACAAGATGTAGCCTTTCGGTTCACAGCTTTTGGTGCCTCCACCCAAAGGATTCAAAATGTTAAATAGTTTTTATCCACATTCTCTCACCGAATTGGCTTTAATTTGGTTTACCGGGTTTTTTGGAGGCTGACAGACATATATACAGAAAATGATTTATTTTGGTAATGTTTCGACACAGTCCCCATGAACAAGTCCCGTTTAATTTTCCGTATTATAAGGGTCTTAGGCGTATTAATGGCTTTATGTTTGCATTTTAGAGTTTTAGAGGCTAGCATACATTTACGCAGAAAATCATTATATTTAACATAGTCCTCATATGAAGGTTTAGTTCCATTTTCCAACCGAATAAGTTTTACGTTGTGATATCGGGTTTTAGGTAGCGAATATATTTTGGATGCATCTTTTGACATATCCCCCAGTAATTATCTCGCTCAACTAAAAATGGTGTAAATTTATATATATTGACAGTTGTTCATATGTATATTTTTAGCCGATTTAATTTATGTGATGCACCAAATACCCAAAATATCTGATTGTGTGGAAAATAGCCGTGTTCTATGTGGGTAAAAAAATCCACAAAATTGTCAAAATGGCTCATTTTTTTCCAACATGGGTGTATGTTATCACATATTCGTCGATTATAAAGCCACATTCGACAGCCCTATCCGTTCAGAGGTGTTTAAAGCCATGTCTACTTTCGCCATTCCTGCAAAATTAATACGGCTATGCAGGAAAACTTTAAGTTCCCTTCAATGCCGAGCGAGGATTCAGACAATGTGATAGTCTGTCGTGTGATCTATTTAACATCCTGCTGGAAAGGTCATACGAGAGGCAAAAGTGAACAGAAATGGCTCTGTACACCAAATAACACATGTAACTCGCCTACGCCGATGACATCGATATAATGGGTCGAACATTGCGAGCGGCAACAACCACCATTGAACACATTGAGAAGGGCTCTGCCAAAGTGGGTCTGGCAGTAAACGGCGAGAAGACCAAGCTGTCTAAGTAAACAGTTTAAGAACAAGGCCGCCTCCCGTCAGACCAAGCTCACATTTTACAAGACGCTAATACTACCCGTGCTGTTATATGGATCTGAAGCATGGGTACTTGCGCAAGCAAATGAGGCAGCTTTTGGGATGTTTGAAAGAAAAATTCTCCGAAAGATCTGCGTCGAATGAACCACGAGCTTTACAATTTATATGCGGACATCGACAGCTGCAGCGACTACGATGGCTGGACCATGTTGTGCGAATGAATGAGAATGCCCCAGCTCAAAAGGCATATAAAAGCGAGCCTACTGATGGTTGCTGTAGAAGGGGAAGGCCACGAATCAGATGGAAAGACCAAGTAGAGACCAACATCTTGGAACGTGGCCTTTCAAATTTGAGGAGCTGCGCACAAGACCGACGCGTCTGGAAATCTTTTTTAAGTTCGGCTTATGGAACAACCGTTCTGTAACAAGCCAGCTAAGTAAATAATTTGGTATTTCGCAAAACTACAATACCATTTCAATAGCCTGAACTTACAGCATTATTGTTAGGTAATGAAACAACACATCATGTTTAGATAAAATTGGATACTAGGGAAGTATATTATATTTTTGACTCTTATAAATAGTTCATATTTTTTAAGAGATTTTTCAGAAGGAATGAACTAACTCGGCTACACTTCTAGTAAGATTTGTGCTCACATACCAAACAGGCAGCAGATGGATGGATTTTAAATTGACTTCAAAATTTCTGAAATTGATTGAGTCAATTTCTGATCGTTTCATTAGACCCTAGGCGACAATTAAATACGGTAGGTTGAAAAATGTCGGTTGAAGCTACCAGAAATATTTTCTATGCCTGGAGTTTTAAATGCTATAATTACATTTTCTTTGAGTACAGTGAACTGACAATTTTTACTATTTGACACAAATAAACAATAACGTCTGAACATAGACCGGAAGAACTTTGTTGTCATTATCATCATCGCTTTATTTCTGTGACATGGCAAAGAACCTAACGAACGGTACAAACGATATTCTTATGCAAATTTCACTTGATGATGATTCGTTACGAACAATATTTACTTATTGTATGCAATGATGATATCTTATGACAATGAGTTAGTTCATTATCATAACAAAGACGTTTGTGAA